CTGTTCCCCACAGTACTGAGAGATTAGTGGGTACTCAAAGCTGGGAGAACTCAGTAAGAAAGAGTTTCAGCTTTTACTCTAAAGAGCACTGCACTTCAAACAGGTTTTATAAAGTCTCATAGCAACAGTGGAAGTCACGACCAGCGCTGCTCTCAGACACCTTTTCAGAGCTAAAGGAGAGGAGGATATATGGCTGTGGTAATTGCAAAGCACTACTGAAATTAAACTGTCTGGGAAGACAAGCGGGTTTCATAAACATATAAACATTAAATATAAGAAAACAATTGAGTTTTAGTTTTCAAGACCCCTGGGAAGACCCTGAACACTTCCCCATTTCCTACAGATCCATTTTTTATCGAGCATTCAGGACATCAGCCCGACCTGGCGAGAAACCCAAGTGTCTTATACATTACTACACACTAATTCGTTTTATACCACATAACTATTGCTATGTTTGCGCCTAGTTTTGCCAAGTTGACCACCTTTTACTCACGTGTTACTTTCAGTACTAGTTCCACCTCGTCATTGGACCAAGCAAAAAAAAATCTGTTTTTTGCCAATGCTGTTCTTAATTTATATTATTTTCCACTACTAAGCAACCAACCGCAGAATAGACTTAGTTTTTACCCCGGCACACGCATGCCCAGTGTACGTGAATGGTCATGTGATATGCATCAGTATGTATAGAGATTATTTTATTAAATTCATAGTTTTGAACGTGACGTCACAATCCAAGGAAAACGCTCCCTTGGAGGGCAACAAATACGTAATATGTTTTCCGCTGCCCGCCAACCAGGATACACTGTTACTTTGAGTTTCTTACTTTTGCTTTGCCAAAATGCTGGGGGGTTGTTGTGCTTTCTGATGCACGAGGAGACAAGCCTGGGCTGTGTTAGGTGACGGCTTCCCTACAAGGTAAACGTAAACATTACCACAGTCGAGCGCTGGCAGGGACCTGTTTTTAACGGCGGCAGTGCTTTATATGGATCACAAGTGCCCAAAGCTTGCAATATGTGTTGAAAGGTGATCCAAATAAAGTTTAACGGCTTTTATGGCATCTCTACTGTACAAGGGAGTCCGGTGTGAGACGCTATCTTGGTCTGTTTTGCCCTCCATGTCACTGCGCATGTCACGTGACCGAAAACTATGAATAGTGTGCTGGCGCGGGTGGTGATGGCGCAGTGGATAGGACACATGCCTTTGGTGTGAGAGGCCCGGGTTCTAATCCACTGTAATACACCAAGTTGTCCCTGAGCAAGACACTTAACCCCTCGTTGCTCCAGAGGCGTGCGACCTCTGACATATATAGCAATTGTAAGTCACACTTTGGATAAAAGCGTCAGCTAAATGAATAAATGTAAATGTTATTTAAAACACGCAGATTTTTTTTTAAATTAAATGTATTTGAGTGGGTGTAGGCTAACACTCCTGTACATTAGAGAAATAAAAGGAGTCTTTGCTGCCTCTCTGTTTCCTTGGATTGGAGTCTAATTAAGAAGGAAAGGCACTTCAACTCTGCCTCTCAGCTCCTCTGAGTGTTGTGGCATTTGGACGCCTACAACCCTCCCCTGGCTTCTATATGAGGTGTAGGGAACAGAATGACCTTTTAATGACAAGGCCTTATACACTGCCACCTACTGTAGCCACACACATATATGCGCACACACAGCTCACTCCCTCCAGCTGGCCTTCTCTGTCCTACAGCTTCCCATGATGCCATTCCATGCCTCTCCGACCATCTCATTTCACGCCAGTTTCTTTCTTTCAGCCTCTTTTACCAGCTTTTTTCCTCCCTCCGGCTTCCCACCTACTGCTTCATCTCTCCCTTTCATCCCTTCGTTCCCAACCTCAGTCATTTAGTTTCACCTCTACCAGTCTGTTCTTATTTCCATTTAGCCTCTCTGAAAAGACCAAACACACCTGATGCCTCTAACTAGTAACTGGGGACATTTTCATAAAAATAAAAAATTAATTTTCTTGCTAATTTCCATCACCGTTGAGTCCGTCTCTAGTAGCACTGGAGCATTCATGCCATGTTGCCATGAGTGGGAAAACATTTATTAGATAATATTTAATAAATTATTAGTGAGGAGCATTAACATTTGTTTGCTAACATACTCAATGAGATATTTAACTGAAGGTTTCAAAGTCGCTTAACGTTGCACTTAATATGGTATTTAATTTACTTTGAACTGCTGCAAGCGAGCTATTTTGGCAGCAGTTTTTGGACACTGTAGTTCTTTTTGCCAAATGGGAGATATCATAGCGGTTCCCCGTATCAATAAAACTAAACAACAACATATGTTGTTTGTCCTTCTTCCACAACTAAACTGTTTTCTGATGTGTGATGCCTCTTTTTTGTCAGCGCCTTCCAAAACAGTTACACAAATTATTCATGACTGTTTTCTGAATTGCCACATGCTATGGTTAAAGTTTAGTTTAGGCAAAAAGACTGTCATGTTTTGTAGCTGCTGGAGCTCCTCGTCAGCTAAAAGATAAACATGTTATCCTTTGAGCGATCTGAACAAATGCTTTTTTTTTTTCTTAGTTTCCCTAATTACATCTAATTTAAGAGTTTTTTCCCCCCACTTGACTGCTCTTGTTTATGATCTTTATGATTTGAGTGAACGTCGCAAAATCAGTGAACTGGCGGTAATGGCTGATAACGCTGTGGTGATGTGTTTTAAATGTATGTTCCATCTACATGACTGACAATCCCTTTATTACTACACTGACACCATATAAGGAAACACTCATAAACTTAATGCTGGATAGTAACAACAGAGTATTAGTTTGTTTGATACATTAAGAAAAAGACAAAAGTTATAATAGTGCTATAAACAAATGCTGCGGACAGTCAAAGTAGTCTATATATTGTAGGAATATTTACTATATTTTACAGTGACACTAACAATTAGAGCTGAAACACTTATTTGATTTTTCATTAATTCATTTTTATCAGTCAATCAACGGAAAATTAAATGGCTACTATTTTCATAATTTATTAATCATGTAAGTATTTTTTAAAAAAGCAATATACCAATTATTCTTTGGTTCCAATTTCTCCAAATTGAGAATCATCATAGTAAACTCAATATATTTGTGTTTTTGTACATTGGTGCTTTTGGACACAGATTGTGAAATAATCAGCAGATTAATAGATATAATTAAAATAATCTTTAGTTGCAGCGATACTGAAAATTACATGGAAAAATGTGAAGTACATTAAACTCACTGTGAAGTCACTAAAATCTCTAGAGATATTATAGAAATATATTATACAGTTAGATTGTTAAATTAGGGAAACATGTTTTTTTACCCTCTCTTGCACAGGAAGTGATTGTTCTCTTTTTATAGTAGTAGAGTATAAATATGAAATGGAAGAACAGGACGTCACAATACCACTGACTCTGTTTTTACTTACATGTGGTCTTTGAAATAGCAACACAACATTTCATGTGATGCACTTCACTTGCACTTCAACCCGACAGGAGATTTTCCTTTTCTGCTCCTCCTCTTTCCCCTTTAATCATCCCTTCATTCCTACTCTCCTTATTTCCTCAGCCCTCATCCAGGAGAAGAAAGCAGGAGCAGCATCCCGCCTGGCAACTCAACCCCCCCCCCCTACAACCTATACACTACAACCTATTGTCTTCGCTCAGTAAAAGCTTAAAGAAGTGGCAGATAAAACACACACAGTCACTCTGTGTTGGGTACAGTGTATTACAGGAGACAGGGAGGAGAGTGACAGGCAGGTAACAAAGCAAGGAAGGTGGGAGGAGAGACAAACAAAGCGAGACAGAGGGGCAGTTCAGTATAATGCGACAGAAAGAAAGAACGAGGAGAGAGAGAGAAAGAGGTAACAAAGACCTTCCTAAACCATTTCCAGTCACAAAGCTTCCATAACAGGACAATTTAAATTCCTTTCTTGTTATTACTTATTTTACAGGGATCAAATAATCTGGTTTCCCCTGCAAAATGGCTGAAAAACCAGCATCTGATAAACTTAATGTGCGTAAACACACACACACAATCTGCTGCTTGTACTGTATGCATGTATAAGAGATCTCTCACAATGTCCAGAAATAAGGACGAAGTAACAGAAAGACGAGAGAGAGAAAAACTGACAGAAGAGAATAAAAGCCCAATGGAAAGGCAGTTAAAAGTTACTGCAGCTCTTAAGAAAGTATTTACTGTCCATCACAGTGTTCTTTGCCGAAGCGGATTTTGTGTGCTGGTGTGAAAAACATATACCTAAATATGTTTATGGTATATAACTTACAAATCAATAGGGATAATCAGATATAAGGATCTTAAATATATGAGACACTGCCTGTCAAAAGCTTGATTTAAGGAGCTGTCTCTACGCCGTGGATGACGTGCACCTGAAATGTCGGGGCTACTGCATACTGAAAGATTTAGTTTTCTCCTACGTTTCTGATGCCAGTGACATTGTTGGTAGTAAATACAACAATTAGGATTGTTTATCTACTGCTTTATAGCAACAAATATCTAGCAAAGCCATCTCCACTGCAGCACTTCTGCTCTCCACAATCACTTCTCTCTATCACGACTAATAAAAGAATGGAAACATGGCGACTGCACAAGGCGAAGTAGAAGTTAACCATATTAGAACATACCGTCACTCTATATCACAAAGTAAATGAAAGAATATAAACACTGGGGAATATAATTAAAGCGTGATGTGTCCTGATGAAGTGTGATACATCTTATAAGTGCTGCAGGGGTGAATCCTCCACTGAACTGTAAATCCTAACTCTTGTTTTTCTCCATGTTTTCTCTTTCATTTTATCTAAAAAGGTAAAAAGAAGATATTTTTATATCAACTTTTGTCTCAGTCATCACCTGAAACTCCCAAAATCTCAAAAATACAGCTATGCAGCTTTTTCTAAACTTCCACGACAAAACAAGGCCGCTCTTCCCGGCTTGTTTTTCATTCAACAGCAGCACATCAGATTTAACATCTTCTCAGTCCTTACCGTCGTCCTCCTTTCTGTGTGTGTTCTGGGGACTGTGTCGCATCCTCTCTCCTCGGCTCGGCGGGCTCAGGTCAGACGCTGCTCCCAGATCAGCTGCTAGCCACGTGGGCTCGCTCATCTCTGCCTCCTCCTCGCTGCTCAGTGAACTGTCATCCTGACCGGAAGAGATGAAACAGGAGGAACATTTTATAACTATGTTTTAATAATAAAGTGCATGTATGGATCTGACAGTTTAAGACAAGCTAAATTTCTATAGAAATAGCGAAGACACAGGATTACATAATCAAATGAGACTAACAGCATTTTATAGTTGAAATGTAGCTTGCAACTTATCCACTGTTATGTAGGGAAAAAATTAGTTATTTAGGTTAAAAGTTCAGAAAAGAAAGGTGTGTGGGGAACATTTTAGAAATGTTAGGAATAGTTCATGCAGCAAACAGGTGAATACAACAAAAATTTCACCATTCACAAAATTGTTCTTGTTTTTATTGTGTCCTCCAACACAAATGTTGTTTTTCCTCTTCTGCATCATGATCTTTAAATGTAATGCTTTGTAACTCGTAAGTGAATCCCAAAATGCATGCAGTGACAATGTGGGTACGAGTTTGTAGATGATGACAGAGGAAGTGTTGAAAATAAAGATGTTTCATCACTGACAGAGGTTAGATTGTCCTTAAGGCAGTGAGTGTAACAGCAGTGTGATGGGTCCTCTATCTCAAACAGACATTTTAAACAGAGAACATTTTCATTTAAGTCAACATGACTGGAATTATATACCCAAAGAAGAATTCCTAGTATAGGAGGGAAAGACTAAATCAATAATAACCTCTCTCAAACATAGAAATGTTGGTAAATCTGCAGCACACTAAAATCCACCTTAACTCACATTAGCCACCTTCTCATGAAACCTTAAAAAACCTCTAATTTCTCTATTCAGTGCTTTGTCAGTGTCAACATCCACAGGGGAAGCCATGACAGCTGCTCCGTCGTTTTAACCAAACATCAGAGGAAACAAGAAACACGAGGCAGACGAACGGCAGGCAGGCAAATCAAACACAACATGCCAACTGCTGCTCAGTGTGCAGCACCTGCAGGCCTCGCCGGTAGCAAGAACATCACACTGACATGTTTTCCCTCTAAACTCTGAGCTGTCTTCCTTCCACCTCAGACTTTCCCTACGTTTAATCCAAAAAATGTTGGTAATAAAAACACTCCCTACAGAAAACAAGATGTTTTAGAGATACCCGAAGCTGAGTGTTTACATGAAATACATTTACTAGACTGTTAGATCAGCCAGTGATTGACAGAAGCAGGGCAGGTATTTCTCGGTTTTAAAATGTGAGAGTTGTAGACGTCTGTTATACACCTCTAATGTTGTGTTTAGACTGAACATGAAGTGAATTTTAGAGGTAAAGTAAAGAGTTCAAGGACAATGGGAAGACGTAAGTGAAACTGAGGTTAAGATGTTTAAGTGCTTCAACTTGAGCACGAACATCCGTGCTCATCCTGAAGCTGCAGACATTGATTTCATTATGGTAAAATTGAGAACGTCTGAGGAAAGTAACAGAACTGGAACTTGTTCTATTGACATCCGTAATTTACCAACAGCAATCTATTGCTTCTTCACTTTCACCCGACAAATGTACTTATTAGGGCTGCACTATGTGGTATGATTCATCTTTGCATCAAAATATTTATTTTCACTGAACAAACTATTAAAAGGATGATGGTGTAACATTCTGTACATGTGGAGAACAGGATTTGTAGGCCAGGACATCTCTGCAGCACTGTAGTACTTCATTATAATTTTTTTTTTGCCACAGATTTTACTTTCATCAAAAAATTACAGCTTCTGAGATTTGGATGTTGTAGTTGGCCATATTGCGATTTCGATATAATTTCTATTAATTGTGCAGCATTAGAATTTTTTGTAAGTCGCTTATGATAAATGTGTCTGCTAAATCCCCTTAATGTAAATATTATGGTTAAGAAAAAAAGAAAAAAGCAAGGATGCAAACTCCAGTCTCCTGCATGAAAGGCAGATGCGCTACAAGTCTATCCACCATCCTGGCCTCCACATACTTTCCACCACTTTATAAAAACGACACAGTGTGAACATTGTGAGGAACGGGATCACACGATTTTGGCGTAATTCCTGGGAATAAAGCACTAAAATGTATCCCAGTCCTCCCCTATTGTTTCAAACTCTCTTCACTATCTCAGCCTCACACACATACCTCTATAGCTGTTATCAGCATCTAAGGAGACCTGCACTTTCAGTAATGAGGTCCTGAGTGCTGCAAATGCCTTTTATTACACACACATGCACACACACAAACACTTGAAAACAATGAAAAGATTAATGAATGAGCAAAGACCTCAATGACACCGGAACGGTCATGAAACGACCAGTTTCATGACCGTTGTTGCTCAAAAACTCTCTCAAATAAAAGACAGAGGCAGACAGGTGATACGCAGCTTTACAGACAGGTTGACTGACAGCCGGAGAGCTGCAGCCCGATGGCACAACCCCCCACAAAATCACACTTATTTTACACCCATGTCATCCTCCACTCCGAGCAGGAATACGATGCATAAGTCAACAGTACACATGTGAAAGCGAAAACACAGCGAATAACGAGAGCTGCTCTTCAACAGGAGCGGCTGAAGTGAGAAATGACAACTGAAAGGGAATAGAAATGTGACATTTGGACAGCTGTCAGATAGAGTCTACATTTACATATATATATATGCATATTTACATATATAGTCTATATAGATTTTTACCCATATAGTTTTACAACCAGTGATTCATCGCTGGCTGGTACAATACAGAAAATCTGAAATTATAAATCAAATCAAAAACAGCAACTTTTTTGTCTCTACTAATATAGCACTGGGGGTCATGGGAGCAGAGTTTGGATGGGTGCCGTTGGTGTTTGTGCAAGGGGGAGTCTGGGAGGTCATTAGGTTCATGGGGAGGTTTAGGGGTGGGGTAGATAAAGCCTAATCTTTTCTCCTGAACACATCCAGCTTTAAAATAAGAAGCTTTTTTTCAAGGTGAGGTATGCAAGAGGAACAACGGTGTCATTCCTTATTTTACCACAGAAATTGTTATAGTCTTCCAATTAAACAAGACTATAAATACTATTGTATTTATAGTCTTGTAGTCTTATAGTCTAAAAACTATATATATTGGTGTATATATTATGGCTTCTGTGAACATCAAAGACATCCCTCCCTGTGTAGAGGAAGAATCTTCTCAGAGGACAGAATCACTCACAGCTGTTTCGAACTGAAAAACTGATTATAGGCTGAATATCATCTTCTTGTAATGTCTTTTTCTATGTCCTCAAGCTAAAATAGGAAGTTGCGTTTCTCTTTACATCAACTGTGTGCTCTTGTTGCTGTCACTGCACAATCAATTAAATAATAAAAAGCTGCAGGGGATTCCACAGTTTCCATTTCAAGTTTTTTAAAAAAAGACAGTTTTTTGTATACAACTATTGCTGTAACGCTCCTGTAGGGAGAACATGTGGCAGCACTGACCCATATCTGTCCGTTTAAGAGGTTCCTCAGAGGAGGAGTTTCCCTGGGCTTGTCACACTGGATTAGCCTCCTCACTGCAGCCAGGCAGCTAGCCAGTACGACTACACACACTGGCAGTAACTGGTAGCGTCCGTGTGGGTCTGGAAACAACCAAGCTATCCAGAGAGCTGTGTCATTCAATTAGAAAGACTTCAATACACAGTGGAAAGTCACTGTGCCATCCACCTTTCTGTGCATCATCACGTGGTACTTTGTACGGATATTAACAGAAAAGATGAAACTTCTGTTGTCACCATTGCACAAGAGAAGAAATGATTCACCTTTGACCCTTTATCCACCCTTTGTTTAAAAATTATTAATAGTTTTACTTATAAAACTCCATACGTTAAGAGCTAATATAACTATTAACATTTTTTTGGTTTAGCGTCTTGTGACGTCCCTCCCTCTTTGCCAGTTGCTTGTGCAGTTGGTCTGGCTTCCTGGCTCAGGAGCCAATGGGCTGAGAAGGAAAGGATGGACATCAGGTTAGAGTACCTCTAACCTCCTCATTCTCTCTTACTCCCAGGTGTCAACCAGATGGTTTGGTTAAGGGTTTGGTGTTTTGATAGCACCCATCACACACTACACTCATCAATATTCTCGATTAGTACGGATTAAATTTTTGTTAAAATACATTCAATTCCTTTTTTTGTGTCAGTGAACAATCAAATAATCAGCTTATGTTATTAAATTCAATTTGTTAATCTTTGTGCCGTTGATTAAAGCTCAGAAAAGCTGCCGGTTTCCTGACATCTTTATCAACCAACTGACACACTCTTGCCTCAGGGTCTAATTTCATCTAACACGACCGTGTGGAGCAGATCACATGGTGTGTATGCAGCTTTTAGTTGTTGATGCCTGAATATGAACCATCAGGAGAATGTCACCTCGAAGGTTAAATAAAAATAAAATAAATAAATAATAAACTGTCCGCTGCAGGTTCTAATGTGTTTTTAATATTCTTAAGTGGAATTAGCCAATAATTATAAGCCACCAATAATTAAAGCTCCAACAGTTCCCCATTCATTTCTTGAACAATGTTCAGGGAGCCAGAAAGAAACAACGCCTGCTGCAGGCAGTAAGACTGTCAGCTAACACTTCCTCAAAGCTAAATGTAAAAAGAGGAGGGGGGAAAAAATGGAAATAGTCAAGATTCATAATCCAAACCGTGAACTTACTTATCGGCATGCTATTCAGCTCGGAGGCTGTTAATTCACCACAGCCAGGCTCATGAATCAACTCTGACAAATGATCAAATGAGACCTTATTTTAATCTGCACTTAATTCCTTTTCAATTACTATCATCACCGGCACACATTACCTCATTTTCAATTACCATATAATCTCAACACAATAATCACTGGCTAGCCTACATCTCTTTGTCGGAATAAAGAACAGAGGATTCATATTAGAACAGTGAAAGCTATCTAATGGTTAAATCAGTCTGATTTCACTTTTCATAACGACTCTTGGAAAATGAGCACCGATGAAGTCACGAGATGGCTCATCGTCTTTGGTGCGGTGAGCGAGAAGCTGAACAGCACTCCCTTTCTGAGGTAATTAGCT